CGATGTACTAGCTCCGTTTACAACCATTGTTGATGGTTCAGTATCAACAATTCTTATTGTCGTACTGATAGCTTCGTTGGAAATTTCATTTAACACCATTTTACTAAGTGATTGATGATCTCTTATGTGGTTATCTTCTAGGAAAGTAGAATTTGTCGATACAAATACTTTATTTTCCTTAGGATCGAAGAAGTAACCACCTCTCGTTTCTTTGGGATAACCTACAAATAGGCATACCTTCGAATGTGATTCCAATTTCTTTGAGTTTGACACAAGTACATGTACTGGACATCTCCAAACTCTGAAGTGTCTTAAACTAGATTTATGACCTCTCCAAAGTTCAAAACGGTGTTTCGGAAACACTCTTGGGTGGAACATTGTTCAGGATATAAAATGCAGTCTCCATTGGATAACCCTAGAACGAGTAAGGCAATTGAACATAGCTCGTCTTTGATTGAGCCATATCTAACAGGGTTCTGTTTCTCCTTTTTGACACATCATTTTGTTGTGGTGTACCGGGTGCTGAGAGTTAGGAAGTGATTTCTGAAGGGATGTGAATCCCGAAGCGGAAGCGGACCGTTGTTCGTGAAATTTGGGAAACAAAATCAATATGCAAATAAGAAAATACAGGGGAAAATCATTACCTTTGAAGAACGTTTCTTCAACTTTTTCCCAACGAACACCACCAAAAAATCTTCCTTGCTATCCTTCTAGGTTTCGAGAACCATGCTTGTAGGAGCACCTTGTTTGGAATGAGAGGGAGAGTTTTAGAGAGAGAGCTTCAAAGAGTAAAAAAAACAGTTCTTCTTTTTTCTGTTCTGTTTTGCAGAACATTTCTACAAATATTTCCGAGAAAAAACAGTGACGTCACTTAACTCCCCACTCCCCTGCAATAATGCAAGGGAGTTAATAATTAATATTAATTAATTAATATTAATATAATTAATATATTAAATAATTATTAATCAAATTAATAATTAATTAATTAAATGTAATATTAAATAATTATTAATCAAATTAATAAATAATTAATATTAATAAATAATTAAGATTAATAATTAATTAATTAAATAATTAACAATTAATTATTTAACATTTAATTAAATATCTCATATTTAATTAAACCATATTCTCTCTTATATAATCTATAGATTTAATGTACATCTTATGTGCATTAATTTTTAACCTATAGTTTTAATATGAATCATATTCATATTAATTTTATTTGAATCTCATTCAAATAATTTTCTCATAATATATAGTTTTAATTTAGAATTAACTATATATTATAATGTATCAATATACATATAATCCCTTAAGAAATTTGAACAGTTCAAATTCTTCCAAAAACTTGATCTTCGTTTTACCCGTTATGAGCTAGCAAAGGGACCTAATGGACCTACAGATCAGAAGCTCCAACGATACGAGATTAATCGGTCAAACTCATTAACCGAGTTAATCAACATTCGTTAACTACGGGTCACTCCACTAAAGACCCGCAGTTGCACTCTTCTCACCGCAGAATGTTTTCGTGTCCAAGGATATACGACCATTAATGACGAGTCAATCCTTCACGAGTGCTCGTAACTCAAGTTGGGTCAAATTACCGTTTTACCTCTGAGTTACATCTTGCTCCTTAAATACCACTACTCTTCTAATGAACAACCCGGTTATGGTCCAACCAATAACCGGAAGTCCCTCTCGGGCTAATGAGAGGGTGGGGCCCCTTATTCAAGTCTCGGAGTCAGCATTTAAGGGAACACTCATCTACCCCCCTAAAGTCGAGAGGAGTGAATTCCATCTTGTGTAGTTATGTTCTTAGCTCCCCACTCGGTCTCGTCCCCAAAATGGTAGGAATATTGAGTCGGCAACTCGGACCACTCTCACCCATACAGATCAAAGGACGAGCCCTCATGAGCAGGAGTCCATAACTCACTCAGGATTGAGAATGAGTTGTCTGGTCATCCTAAAAAACAGCAATCTATTAGTTAACGGTGTTACATCTAAAGATTGGCTATTTCGTAGTCCGGTCTTATACAAACTCATTGTATAGGATACCCCCACTCGCATGWCTCCACACGAACGACCTGGATCGAGTCGTCTGTAACCTTCACAGAGTGGGCCGTATCCATAGTGTTGCCAGGATAAGGTACCCAGCCTTATCCATGTACTATAGACCCTTTAGGTTATTCACGGGACATTATCCACTTGTATATCAGGGTATATCAAATATATACCTCGTATATCAGGGGTATATCAAATATATACCCAGTATATCAAATATATACGCAGTACATATACTGTCCCGGTTAYACTAAAATAACCTCGGATGTTTAGTTTATTGGATTTTGGACAATGCAATGTTATGAATTCAACAACAAATTTATTGAATAAAACTTTATTGAATATACAATTGTTTTTACACAAAATAAAAACTACGAGTTTAGGGCAACACACCCAACAATTTCATGTTCTATCATATAGTCTTGGAATCTTAAGTCAATGTACTCACCACCACGATCTGATTGAAGTGTTTCAATGGACTTACCTAATAAATTTTCAACTTCAGTCTTATACTCTTTGAACTTTTCAAGAGCTTCAAACTTATATCGCATTAGGTAAAGATACTCAAATCTTGAATAATCATCCATGAAAGAGATGAAATATTCGTACCCACCTCGAGCTTGAACATTAATCGGACCACAAAGGTCTGAATGTACCAGTTCTAAAGGTTCTTTGGCTCTATAACCCTTTGCTATAAATGACCTTTTAGTCATTCTACCTTCAAGGCATTATTCACTTACTGGTAAATAGTTATCACCAACTCACTTAGGAGACCGCTCTTAACCAGTTTCTCAATCTTGTTGAGATTAATATGACCAAGCTTGAGGTGCCAAAGATAGGCATTTTTTTAAGAGAAATTCTTTGTCTTTTCGACTGTGTTGTTGCAGTTTTAAACAATTCAATGTTTAGAATTGTTTTAGTTAAAGTTGGTCTAAGTACGTACAAGTTATTTTCTAATTTTGTTTAACAGATTTCAACACCTTCTCTTATAATAAACGCTTCATTAAAAAGAAAAGAGATTGACATGGATGTTCAAGTAAGCAAGCAACATAAATTAAATTCCTCTTCAATAGATATTATTTGATGTAATTTTATTTTAATTATTAATTATTTATTAATATTAAATAAACTGTTATAATAAAAAATTATTACTATCCAATATTGTAATAAATTAAATTAAAATTTATTGTTGTTGTAATTAAAAAAAATTACCACAATAATATATTTATAATTAACTAAAAAGAGAAAGTTGTATACTAGTAATTGTTATATATTTGATTCTGATTCCAGACAGTTTTAGTAAACAACATCAAAGGAATAACATTATCATTTTGATTGATTTCATTTCGATTTATTACCGATTATAGGTGAGTAAACGAGACCTAAGATTAAACAATTTTAATTTAAAAAATAAGAAACTAAAAAGCAAGATTAGTTTGAAAAGTCATTTTCTTCAAAAGACACCCCATCCAAACAACATGCACCCGCTGTTGACTGCTGAGCATTGGATTCTCTCTCTTTTTCTTAATTACTTTAATCTTGAAATTTTTTATTTTTTTATTTTTAACAAAATACTTATCGATAAAATCTCAACTAAACATAATAGTAGAAAGAGTACCCTGCTGCGTTTGGACTTCAAACGGTTTAGCTTCAACCTTCCCAAAAGATAATAGTGGCGTTCAAAGATTTCCTCGAGCCAGAAGAAGATTGGCTCTCGAGTGCAAAAGCAAAAGGGAGCTTGACTGTAAAACCCACTTGTCGAGCAGCGACGAAAGTCGGCCAATTATTTATGATTATTCAAAGGAAGAAGAAGAGTATTTCATTGCTGCAAATATGGATTATTTGAAAAATAATACATGTATTTCATTGGACGATATTTCTTTCTCTTCAAAAAAATAAAAATAAATAATCATTGGATATTCTAGACTCTTTTATAATTAGTATCTTAAGTCTTCCCTCCACTTTTTTTGTTACTAAAAATTGGCAACATGTGAAACAATTTGGATTACTTTTACTAATTTTCTTGAGTAAGAGTTCTTTTTTCCGTAAGGTAAATTGATATTATTACAATTTCAAAATCCTATAATTTTTAATTTTCTACAAAATTATATTTTCATTTGAAAGCGATTCAAATTTAGTGATGAATTTTGTTTGTAACTTAAAGCAAAACCCGAACTTTTGTCGTAAATTATCTGATATAAGTTTTAAAATTTTAGTTAATAAACTAAACTAGGATTATTTTTAAAATCAAAATTAAACAAACTTAAAATTTTAGCTACCCGACTAAATAAAAATAGWCGGGACTTTTACTGAAGATGTCTCACAATAATCGAGAAAGATATATCTCTCTCGACTATTTTAAGAAACTGTTCGGCTACATTTTAATTTTTTTAAATAACATAACTCCCAACTATTTTTAGAGATAGTTGGAAGAAATTAATATTTCCGATAGTTTGAAATAATAGTCCGCTAAAATTGATTTTACTCGACTATTTTAACAGTTAACCCGTCTATATTGTTCTTGAAAAACTGTCGGTCTATATATTGTTCTTAAATTTTGTTTTTAAATGTTACAACTCCCGACAATTTTTAGAAATAGTCGGGAGAAGTTTAATCTTTTCCACAGTTTTCAATAATGGTAGGGAACCCGACTATTTTAATAAATCATTACCCTATATAGTTTTTAATTTTTTTTTAATATTACAAGTCCCGACTATTTGAAAAATAGTGCAGAGAAGTTAAATATTCCCGACAATTGTAAACAAGAGTCCGGAAAAGTGGACTTTAAATTAGTTTTTTTAAATAATATAATTTCCGACTCTTTTATAATAAACTGTCACTGTCGGGTCAGGTCGGGATGATTGTTTTAAATTTTATTTTAAATAATACAAGTGAGATATGTTTGTGAATTATTAAAGCACTGAAGATGAGCCCCATAGACCACACATTTTATACGGAGCAATGGGAATAGTTGGCAGATGAAAGCTCTGTCCATGGCGGTTTCTTCTTCTTCTTCTTCAACTGGAAAATACAAATACGACGTTTTTTTGAGCTTCAGAGGAGAAGACACACGTGGCGGCTTCACAGACCATCTCTACGCAGCCTTAAAACGGAACGGAATAATCTTCACTTTCAGAGACGAGAATGAGATCCAACAAGGAGCCGACATTTCTTCCGACCTGTCGGCCGCAATCGAAGCGTCAAGAATTGCGGTGGTCGTCGTGTCGGAAAACTACGCTTCTTCCAGGTGTTGACATTGGGTGAATTACTACGTGTTTAATTTTCTTCATCATCATCTTTATTTATCTTAGAAATTTTAGATGGGTAAGTTGAAATTTGAATTTGAATTCCATTTTAATTGTGGTAAAGATCCGACGTTGAAAAGCGAGAGAATCTAACAATGGTTTGTAATAGACATGAATTACTTCTCTCATTATCAATTGATTTTAGGATAGATCCCGATGAATATTATCAAAGTCCAAAACGCTCAAACGAGCAATCGATCCAAAAATGGAATCCGACCAAAAGAGCCACAATATGAGATGGAACTCTGAACATTGATAACCAGAACCTGATCTAGGATTAGTTAACAAATATTATCTACGATGTTTGTATTTAAGATAATTATTAGTTTGTTGTATTTTTCAGGTGGTGCCTCGGGGAGCTCCTCGAAATCTTCGAGTGCAGGAAGAGGTTGGGAATGACCGTTTTGCCCATCTTCTACAAGGTGGATCCTTCCGATGTTCGCAACCAGAGAGGGAGTTTTGCGGAAGCTTTTGCCAAACATGGAGAAAGATTTGGAGAAGAAGACTTCAGGCTCACAAAATGGAGGCAAGCCCTCACACAGCTCGCCAACCTCAAAGCTTGGCTTTCCCAACATTGGTAACCAAACAATTATCAATATTTTCATCTTCTTCATGTGCCTTTTTATATAGTAAATGTTGGAAATTTCATTTGGTTGCAACTTTTGAGGATTAGTCTCGAGTTTATATTCTTTCAAGTGTTTTTATTTTGTGTCTAATTATAGTGTTTTTCTTTGGTTGATAAGAAATGGAGAGATGAAAATTTATAATTCTTCCCCCAAATTTGTAAGTTGAGCATAAATTTCGACTTTGTGGCTTTGGCTTTGGCCCGATCAAGTACTTGTTAGGTTTACTTGGTCGGTACAACAAAGTCTTTATTAGATTTACTTGGTTCACCTTGGTTTGTAGAGTTCTAACGCAACCAAATTCTTACGAAGTTTACTGAATCACACGACCAAATTTTTCTCAAATTTATTTGATCGACTTGCATTGTAGAGTCCTAGCACAAGCAAAAGTCTTTCTCACATTTGTTTGAATTAGTCTAATTATACCATTTTTTGATTTAGTCTAACTATAGACTTTGGTTGATGTTGATGTGACTGATGATAAATTCTACGTTTAGTTGGATTGACATAAATTTATAGACGACTCTAAATTTATGATGAGTTGGCTTAAATTTTGACCATTTCTTTTTCTCTTCTATCAATTTAATATCCACTCACAAAACGGGTACAATTGAAAATGTTTAGAAAGGAATAGACTAAGTTGCAGAAACTAATTAAAACTAGATTTTTTAAAGCAATATGGACTACGGATTAGGGTTTTGCAGTTTATTCCAATTGTTTGATCATTGTAAATTTTTCTTCTTTTCTCATTATTGTTTTTCTTTTGGGGTTCTACGTTTTCAAGAAAATTTGTATTTTTATTTTTTCCTATTTTTTCCTAATTTCCTTCTATTAGGTGATAGACATTATTAAAATTTTCTAAGAACACGAGAACTAAATTATTGCAAAAATAAGTTATGAAGATGAAATTATTGCTAAAGTCAATGCATGGAGAATGCTGCTAGTCAAAAAATAAATAAAACAAATAAAATATTAACAAATTGACTGTTTAAAAAAAAATTAAAATAAAAAACTATTATCCCAAAAAATCTAAAATAAAGCAAGTTGTGTCACCCTACACAACCCATTAAAAGATTGAAATTTTTAAATGCGTGCCATATTTTTCTAAAATATATTTTACAAATATACTATTCTTTCTTAATATAAATGTAAATATAGTATATTCTTTTAAAAAGTTATTAATTATTGATTTAACTTTGATAATTATGTTGTTAAATCTCAAATTATTATCAACCATTAACATAAATCAATTGCTAACACTATTAAAGTTAATTAAATATTGATAAACTATAATTAGTGAATAATTTATATAGATTAACTATTAATCACTTACCTCTAACTTTTACTATTCGTTTGATTTTTATATTTTATCCAAATCATAACAAATTTGATGTTATTTCTAACCCATTTATATCTTGCATTAATTAGAAAGAAAAAAACCACTTTCTAAATCATTTTTAGACCTTCAACTAACTATCAATTGTTGTTTCTTACATGTATTATCTTGGGTAATTAGGTCACATGAATCAGAAATCATAGAAGAAATCTCTGCATCAATATGGAAAAGAATCAAACCGACCTTGACACTCACTCGAGAAGACCAACTTCTTGGAATCAATTCAAAACTAGACAAACTTTCTTCACTTTTGAACAGAAACTCAAACTCAGATGATGATGATGGTGTGTTTTGGGTAGGAATCCATGGAATGGGTGGCATCGGTAAGACGACAATAGCTCGGGTTTTTTACGAGCAAATCCGCGACGAATTCGACGCTCATTGCTTCCTCTCCGATGTTCGAGAGAAGTTCGAGACGTCGGGGCTTACATATCTACACAGCAAACTCCTGTCAAGATTAACGTTTTCAATGAAGAACAATGACATATGGGATGCTGAAGAAGGCATTGCCATGATAAGCAGAGCAATTTTTCAAAAAAAGACACTTCTTGTATTGGATGACGTGGATCATTCAGACCAAATCAAGGGGCTGATTCCAAGCAATGATTTTTTTGGTTATGGCAGTAGAATCATCATCACAACAAGAAATGCAGATCTGCTTTCCAATGAATTGGGAGTTAAAAGAATTCTTGAAATAGAAGAACTCAAATACGAGGAGGCCCTTCAACACCTTAGTTTGAGTGTTTTCATGAAAACATGTCCGGAAGAAGGTTTCTYGGAACATTGCAAAAGCATCATCAAGCTTGTCGGAGGGCACCCTCTTGGGCTAAAATTATTAGGAACATGTCTAAGGAACAAAGATTTGGGTGTGTGGGATTGTGTAATAGAAGAACTCCAAGAAGGTGGGAATATTGATAACCAAATTTTCAAGTGTCTGAAAGTAAGTTATGATGGGTTGGATGAGAGGGAGAAGGATATTTTCCTTGATGTGGCATGCTTCTTCAAGGGAAAAAGGAGAGATTTTGTAGAAGAAATTCTTGATGGATGTGGTTTCTATGCCAGAAGAAGGATTGAACTTCTCATTCAAAAATCTCTCATAACTCTATCTTATGACAATAAATTGCAGATGCATGATTTATTGCAAGAAATGGGTCGGAAAATTGTTCGTGAAAAACCTACCCAACAAGATCGATTGTGGTGTCACAAGGATATTAAATGTGTGGTAAGATGTATTTGAGTGTTCTATTTTTCATTTTGGTTAGAACTTGGCGTTTATATCGACTTTGCTAATGTTGGCTAACAAATTTCTTTGTTTTGTAATCTACTTTTTAAAACGCTACCCAAAAAGAATAGTTTCTAGAAAAATATAGGAATTGTCATAACGCTTCAGGCAGGCCTAGGATTCGGACCACGATTTTGAATCCAAATTCTGAATTCTGGTCCAAATCCTAGGACTGTGGCGTTATAGAATGGTAAGAGTGGAACCTCTACTAGTACGATGCGGTTTGAAGACAAACCAAGTGGATGTTGGTGGGCATATGACGTCCGAGTAGAAAAAATGGGTACATAAATGAACCGAAACCACGTTTGAATGAAAGAGATCTTAAGATATTGAAGCATGGTTAAGAAAGACAAAAAAAAATTATAGTCACTACCTATATAAACAAGGTACACCTAGATTTCTTAGGCACCATGTGAGTGGACAAAAGATGCTGAAATGACTCATATTGATCTGTAGAGATAGTCTTCGCTCTTCTAAATAGTTCAGATAAAGACAGTTGTGCAACCAGGTCGTAGGGGATGTTGGGAAATGTCGGGGCAATTAGGTGTTGAATCCGGATTCCAAATCCTTAGAGTCGATGGACCTGAGACGTTATACATTATCATGGCTAGCTTTTTTCTTGGTTCTTTTTTAATTATATAGTTATAAAACTCAATTGTGTGTTGAACATAATATCTTGCCATTCAGGTTACAGAAGCATTGGTCCAAAGCATATATTTCAAGTCCCCAAGAAACACTGTTGAGGTTCCAATTTTGTTTTCAAGAATGCAACAACTTAGGCTGCTCAACTTTCACAATGTGAGACTGCAAAATCACTTGGAATATTGCATTCCAACTGAGTTGAGATATTTGAAGTGGAAAAGATACCCCTTGGAGTTTCTAAGATTGAGTTCTGAAGAATATAAGCTTATCACGCTTCACATSTGCCATAGCAATTTGAAGCAATTTTGGCCAGTAGAAAAGGTAACAATCTGAATCTAATTGAGTTATATGGTGTTTGAAGTAAATATACTTTCATTTTACATACATAATAAAGAATGAGTCATTGAATTTATGGAGTGATTTGGAAATTTAAAACTTGTATAAGGATAATGAGGCAAATTCTCATAAACATGACCTTATTTAGCCTTATTTCGTCACCCGAGATCCAAGTTTGCACCGACAAAGATCTCTTTCTTCCTCGCGGCCGGACCGGCTTGGAAGCAAGTTACTTGTCGCCTATCTCACCCCTCGGCCTTATCTTTTTCTTTTTTCTTTTTCGTCAGTCTAGAATTAACAAATCTCTAAAGGAAGATAGGTTTAGCTTTCCAACTTTAGACGATCTAAACGCAACTCCTGACCTATTTGTCGAGGAGTTATTTAGAGTATGGTTGGCACAATATTGCCGCCACTTTTACATAGTTAGATATGTCCGTGAAAAATTAAAAAAACAAGGTTAAAATATATGTTTTAGTCTTTGATGTTCAAGTGTTTTCTCAATTTAGTTCCTATTGTTTAAAAAGTTTCAATTTTTCCTCTTATGTTTAACAATTTTCAATTAAACAATTTGCATTGGTCAATCTTAAGATTGGCTTACACTAAACTCACGTGTGGCATGATGCTTAGTGAGTTGGCAGAAATTTAAAGAGGAACTAGATCACCTCTTAGATATATAAATGTTTTCGGTTCTTCTAGTATATATTCAAGTGTTGTTCTTTGATTAATTTCTATTGATCTTTGCATGTGGCAGCATTTGGAGAAGTTGAAGTACATCAAACTCAACCATTCTCAGAAGTTATCCAAAACTCCTGACTTTGCAAAAATTCCAAATCTCAAAAGATTAGAACTTGAAGGCTGCACGAGTTTAGTCAACATTCATCCATCAATTTTCTCCGCAGAAAAACTAATTTTTCTAAGTTTGAGGGATTGCACCAATCTCACCAATCTTCCATCTCATATTAACATCAAGGTTCTTGAAGTTTTGATTCTCTCTGGTTGTTCAAAACTCAACAAGGTCCCAGAATTTTCAGGCAACACAAATAGATTACTGCAACTCCATTTCGATGCCACCTCCATAGCAAACCTTCCTTCATCAGTAGCAAGCTTGAATCGCCTAACAGTGCTGAGCTTAAAGAACTGCAAAAAGCTAGTCAACATTTGTAGTGTCATTGACAAGATGACGTCTCTCGAGAGCTTAAATCTTTCTGGATGCTCAAAGCTCGGAAACCGAAAACGAAAGATCGACGACAATGTCGGATGCTTGGCGGAGCTCGACGTGAGAGGTGCTCCAAGAAGAAGAGACGACGAGGGTAAAGTCGGAGTTAATATCTTCAAACAGTTGTTTCTTTGGTTGTGTAAGGCTCCAGAAAGTGGCATTTTTGGGGTCCCTTCGCTGGCTGGTTTGTACTCTCTTACGAAACTAAATTTGAAGGATTGCAACTTAGAAACAATCCCACAAGGGATTGAATGTTTGGTGTCTTTGACAGAGCTTAGGTTGTGTGGCAACAACTTCTCTCATCTTCCAACAAGCATTTCTCGACTTCATAACTTGAGAAGATTGAATATAAATGGATGCAAGAAGCTTCTGTGCTTCCCAGAGTTGCCTCCAAGGATTCGATGGCTGATGTCAAAGGGTTGCATTTCACTGAAAAACATTCCAAACATTTCAAAAGTGGACCATTCATATTTCATGAGGGAAGTGAATCTTCTGAATTGCTACCAATTGGCTGACAACATAGGGCTTCATAGATTGATCACTTATTGGATGGAGAAGATGCTTTTCCGGAAAGGAACATTCAACATCATGATCCCGGGGAGCCAGATCCCGGATTGGTTTACAATGACAGAAATGGGATCTTCGATATGCGTCGAGTGGGATCCCGACGCGGCGAATGCCAACTTGATTCGCTTTGCTTTGTGCGTCGTCTGTGGTCCGACGAACCAAGGCGACATTATCGATACTCCCTTCGCCATTATCGCATCTGTGACGGGAAGAGGTGCTGATGACCCATGTTTGAACAATGGAGATCTTATTGTTAATGCATTCAATGTTTCGGGGATGAGGAAGTTGGACCATATTTGGTTGTTCGTTTTGCCTCGAACCAAGTCTCTGGCAAGGAAGATTAGCACATGTAAAGAGATTAAGTTTCAATTCTTGGTCCAAGTTAACTATAGTCGATCTGCTTCTTCGCCAAGTATCGCGCTGAAAAAGTGTGGAGTTCATTTGATAAATATGGAAGAAGAGAAGGAAGCCATGAAGCGATATGCCTCTTATATCATCTTGAAGAACAAGATGAGGTCATTGCTAAATGTAAATTGAGTGAAATTCACAGTAGGAACTTCTCATTCCTCTCTTTTATATATGTTAGTAGTACCGTAATTGACTTGTCGACCATGATCTCCCTTTATCGACAGAATAATGCTCCAAATAATTTCCAATATGATGTTGTATTTGTTAGCTTTATGAACTTCAATCGTGTAAAATGTTTTGATCATAACAAATTTTATTTACTAATGATTTTAGTGTTTCAAAGTACAACATATAGTTCAGAAAGACGAATCTAACACCTTTTGAATCATTCGAATCAAAGTTTAAACGAAAAATTTATAGCCAAAACAAGTTTGGGGAGGAAGAACACATGTAACAGGTGATGTGGACAATCCAACCAATTAGAAGCCGACACGTGGCAAATGATATTGCAATTTGCTAACATGGCAAGATAACGTGGTAGTGACAGTAGTGATGTGTCAGTAATATGGCATCAACGATTTTGCTGATATAGTGGATGATGTGGACGAATCATGTGATGACTCATTCAAAAAAATTCTTAATCAATAATTTCCATAATTTTCTCAAATCCACCATTCTCTCTCAATCTTTACAAATTCTCTCGATCTCCACCAATTCCTCTAAATCTCCATAATTCTATTTGTTCATTTTTCCTTATCTTTCCTCTTAATCTCTACCACTCATCCTTTATTAAAATTCTATAAAAAACCACCAACCTCATTCTCCTACACACCAATTATCAAAGCAAATATATTTTCTCCCTTCAAATTATTTTACTCTTAAATTTTCATTCTCTCCCCACAAAAAGTTGTCCTGAGATATACATTATAGTTTTTTTTAGATAAGAAGATATACATTATAGTTTATTTTTACATACAATTTGAGTTTTTCTCATGAGTGCTCCTATTATTTTATAAATGACTTTTCATTTGACATTTTTGCTAGGCACTTGGCAACTCACTCGTGGGGCATGATACCCAAAAATTACTTCAAGAGTAGCTTTCTTCAGCTTCAGCCACTCGAATTTTATATTAAGGCATAGGTGCACCTTGAATTTTGGAAAAAACACAACTGGTGAACTGGTAAAAAAGATCATGAGTTTCACTTTAGCCTAGGATAAAAAAATGGTCAATCGATCGATTTGGTTCTCACCCGTAAGAGAGTTGACGCAGTAAAATATCCAAAAAAGAGTCTTGGAGAGTGGGGTAGAAATCTCAAATTACTAAAAAGATTCCTAGTGTCATTTCTCTCCCTACTCCTTCCCCCTTCTGGTATTACAATACGATCCTACACCATTCTCTCATCAAAATTCAGCTTGCGGTTATATGGTGTGTCCATAGGTAGTTGGGTTTGTAAGGTGAATACAAATAAAGTCCCACATTGACTAAGGAAGGAGGTGATCCTGGATATATAAGATATGACAATTATCTTCATTGGCACAAGGCCTTTTGGGTGAAACCAACCAGGCTGCCCCCGAGCTTCAATATATACGGTATTGATTTATCTTAATGTTGCAACCTATRAATTTGTTAGGTCCATTCTCGTTTCCAGTGGGACTCTTTCTTGGTTATAAACTCTTATGGTTGAATGGAAGACTTTTGTTCTAACTAGTAAAAGTCTCCTACAAAACAAAAGGAGAGAAAAAGACATAATTCTAGTCAAGTGCTCGAGTTTTACTTCAGCTCATTGATATATAATTAGAAAGAAGTTATTTGAAGCAAAAAGAAATGTGTATAAATTCAGGAAGCTATCTATCTACTGCTAGCAAGAATTTCACATACATGTCAGATAATCAGTCCCAAGTTCTAATCTTCTCGAGACAATTCTGCATTTGCAAATTGACATCATCCGAGAGACGAAATCCAACCATAAGCTTATATTGCTCAAACTTCAATTCTTCGAACCTCAAGGCAGTGTTCTTGCAAGCCCTGGTATTTCCTGTAAAATAAAATGGAGCTAACGTTCAATTCTATTGCCAACTCTTATGAGGAAAAATCAGTGCAACTGCAAACTTTCGACTGTCAAGTGGGGAAAAAATTAATTTGAAAGCCAAACTTTATCAGAAAAAGAATTGGTATATGATAATATAGCAAAAGAGAACTAATAAGTAATTATTATGCTGGAGAATATTTGAAACTTCGATTGAGGATCAACTGAAAAATAACACACTTTGCAACACACAAAACAAGTTTCTTATTTCTTGTTTCCAATCCCAATTTTTTCCAAAACATAAATAAAAAGATTGTTTTATCATACTTTAATTCATGGATATTGGGTCATGCAATTCATTTTTCTTTATTAAAAATGAAAAAACTGAAACAATAAATAGAAACGTTACCAAATTAGCCCTAAGTTTCTTGTTTCTTGTTCTCGTTCCCTATTTGACCATCGAGTGTTGGGGGCCACGTAATTCTATTTTTCTTTATTAAAAATGAGGAAACAGATAAAAGAAACACTAACTTTATCAAACGTCCCAAAATTTCAAGTTTGTTGATGTCATTTACTAACTATACTAGAACAACATCATATGACTAAATTGGAAGAATCAATAACATGTTTTTTTGGTAAGAAAATAGTCCATAACACAAAGAAAAACGATGATCCTAAAGAAAGACTCACCATTTAGGTCCAGTAGATTAAACAGAACAGGACAATTGCCGATAGTCCTCACCATAGTAATTGCAGCCCAGACCTTTTGGTAGTCCTCTTTGGAAGTTCTAATGATACATAACTTTGTGATCGGATTTACATACCTAACTAAATAAACACCAAAAATTCAAAAAGAAACATTAAAGCCCAGATGATAAACATTTTGTTTTTTCTTTTCCGTTTTTAAAAATTAAGCTTGTAGTTCAACATTACACCTATATGAGGAAGCAAGCATAATTCTCAAAAACAGAAAACTAAATTCCATTTAAGAAAAAAAAACATTAGGAAGATGCAGATTATCTACCTTGAAAAGATCCGAGTGTGGAAGCAAAACCACACTCCCCAAAGTTGAGAAGAATACTATCCTTGATTGCTTTCGAAATATTGTATTGGGTAATGATAATAGAATCATCTGTTGCAAAGTCTTTTTCGGGATCTAAGATAACTTCAAGTATCAAGTATCGGTTTCTATACCTCACCATTACTCTAATCAAGATCACCTGGTATCACACAAATCACAAATAAAATTTGACATTTGCTACAACCATACTAAAATTCAGATCTTATAAGCATAAGAACCGAGATGAAGCGAAGCTCCGATGAAAGTTAGAGAATAGTGAGAGGAAGAAAAAGGGGATCATCCCAAGGGCGTCGAAAACGAACAAGTGAGAGGCCGTGAGACTGCCGATGATGACGTCACTCAGCGACGGCTTCCGCCGAGGGAGTGGCGGAACTGATTGGGGAGGAGGCTGCCGGTGCCGGTGCCGGCTGGGATGGAGGAAGAAGAGTAGTTTCGGCCTCGGACGCTGAACGAAAGAAGAATGAAAAGAGTTAGGGTTTGGCCTAGGCTTGGGCCTTCTTTTAATATTTTGTTTCGGGTAACCAGCGTAGCTAAATTAAATAGTTTGATTTGAGAAATAGCCAAAATAATTAAATATCAGAAAAATAGCTAAAGTACCGTTAGAGCTGAATTACGTGATTTTATTTAGACAAATTTATCCTCCCATCAAAATAGGTAAATTTATCTTACCATTACCTCTATAAATTCGAGACGAAACTACCCTTCAATAAATCTGTAGTGAACCTAAATTGTAGGAAAGAAGATAGTGAATGGAAATTATAGAGTTAAAAAATTTTAAATAACATATAAATTTCCAAATTTCCAAATTTGTAAGATAAATCTGTTGAATACTTTGAAATTAAAAAAAAAAGATCGAATCAAAGTGTAAAATAGATTAAAAAAACGTAAAATCAAATTAGAAAAGTGGAAAAATAAAGATTGAAGCTGTAAAGTACTGTCTTTAAAATTATAGATGGAGTAGTTGAAGATT